AAAAGCGACGTTTTTCTTCACCCTTTCGTGGGAAACGTGGCCTTTTTGCACAATTTGTCAGTGTTCTCGGCAGAATGTAGATACGAGAATCGATTGCTCTATCCTAGATATCATAAAATTTGTCATCTATCTCTTTTGGATTTAAATAAGATTCAGCTGTCTTGTATGGATTACGTTGAATTGCCTTGGGAGATTTGTTGCTTTTTTACGTGAACTAGAGTATGAATAGTTTTCGTGCTATATATATGATACATATTTAAGTAGTTCCTTGGTTACGTATGATGTGCGTAATCTCTCGGCTTTGACGATTTGTATGATTTGATCATAATATAGTTTTTTTTTTTATCTGGAATATTTTGTCATCGATTTGCTTCCCTAATTCTTCCATAATACGTTTTACGGGTTAGACAAAGTAAACTTTAAAAATAAGAACACCATCATTTTCATGGGGACACATAAGGCAAAACGAATTGGTGTACTCAGTACGAATACCAATCTCCAATTCAAAATACTCTTTGTTCCCACAGCAACAACACACATCTTCATTGCATAAGTATCATTCATTCATGCAACACAAGTCACCATCGCAGATAACTTGATTGTGTGTGACGACAGGCGCGGCGCAGATCACATTCTATTCAGACACAACTTCCTACATTCGTACACACACATTCACATCCGAACTTCTAACTGGACACTGGGAACGGATCCCCTTTACTTCTCTGTTGAATTTTGTGTCTGTGTATGCTTGTGTGTGTGCGTGGTCGATGGATATAGGAAGTCGTGTGTGTATAAACTGTCTGATTGTGTGGATGGGTGCGGCCAGTTCACACAGTGCACAGGATCTGGGCTCTATTAGCTGCGCCCGCGGCTCGCTCGGCTGTGGAGACTCGCCCTGATTCATAAAAATAATTCCTACCAAATGACGTATGATGGCGCTGACGGAAGTTTTTCTTTAGGAGATTTCCGATGTGTTTGAGATGTTTGTCATCGTTAGGCTTTTAACGGAGTGTTCGATATGGTTTCTGTGAATTTGCGTAAAATATCTTTAGTAAAACTTTGCTATTATTACATAACTCTATTTTACTCTGTTGAAATCTTTGACATTTATTATGAGAACTTGTATTACAGCAAACGATGCCGCGTTGATTAGAATCTCAGAAAGCTAAGCACCAGCTATAGTACATGTGTATATATAAACTCAAGTACATACTGGCTGGAATTTGCACAAGTGATGAGCTCGAGTATTTGCATCAATACCTGTATTGAGCCTTAGCGTTTTGTAATTGTAATTATTTAAACATTTGAATGTGTGATTCATTGACACACCTGCAACACCGTATCGGATTCTTGTTTCAACGAAGAGGATATTATTCCGCTTATTTTCGTATCTGACAGTGAGCCAATTCGATTTCACGGACCAACCACTGCGTGTAGCAACCACTGGCTGGTTGATTTGCCATTCAAAATCATATTTATCTTGCGTAGTCGCGTTACCATTCTGATTTGGATACATTTCCCATTTAAATAGATTTTTAATGTCTATATTTGGACAAGAATAATTTAAGAATCCCATCTCACAGTCCTCCTGGCAAATTTTCAGGTACTTCGGCATTGATATTAAAATACCTAATTGTTACTAGCCTATCTACTAAAAGGCCGGTCTTCAGAAAAAGATAATCTTATTTTGGCAACTTTTCACAAAAGGCACAATCCCAATCCCTAATCCATTTGAAGATTTCGATTAGGAGCTCAGAGACTATTAGAGCATATAGACCTACTCAGCAAATCATAATTCCATTATTCAATGAAGAATACTTTTTACTAAGTATTATAAAACTCTAGCTGCAGCTTTAAAGATAACCAGCTTGTTTGCAGCCCATTGAGCCTGACGCAGAAAATAAATCAAAGATGTTAAGAGATAAAAAGGTCAAGACTTCACACTCTCTTAAGATGCCTCCAACACCGATACTACCTGAGTCTTCGAATCAACCGAACCCTAAATTGATTGACACGCTCATATTCAGTCAAATGCTCATATCTTTGGCTCTTTGTAAGACACACTTAAGTCAACAATATCTTAAAACAAATATTATTTTCACACGTCTGATTGGTCTGTAACCTTTACGTTTTCGATAAAAGGACGGTGTAATGATGTCTGTTATCACAACAACGTCATATCTATAAATAGGGAGGTGTAAGATAGGGTGTATGAGGATAATGGATTCTCAGCATAGATTAAGAAGGAAAAGATCGTTATAATCTGTTAATTGAAACCATGTATATGGACCTGGTACAACTTTTTCTAAAAAGGGTTCTAGGGAAAAGATTACAATTTAATCTTTTTAAGGAAAAGCAAATCATTCTCATCTATCGTAGCTCTAATATTCTATCTAGCTAAAATATGTGTTAATATAAAATCACCAGACAGTAAACTGATTCCAAAACATAGCTTATGAGACGCCTATAGTCAATAGGCGTCTATGAGAAATTTTGTTGGAAATACATACATTGTCTTTGACCTTGACTTTGAACTTCAGTCCACACACACGACTCAAGAAGTATCCCTTCGTATTTACCTTGCATTTTAATCTCAAATATAACCTCTTTACTGAGCACACAATCTTCAAAGCCCCACCGTCATCGCCACGACAAAAGCATACAGATAGTAAGGTCCCGTACAGTTTACCCAAAGCGTACTAAATACATAAAGTGATGGTAATGAACCCAATTTTAAACACTTGCTAGTCCCCAACTGATAAATGTTTGGTACACTTTCTCCGCAATTATTCTGTACGCGTTAATTCAATATTAGTTTAGCACCGTTCTCGTTGCGACCCACATCCTTCACCCTAATATTGTTAAGTTGAATGTTCGTTGTTCCGAGTTTTTATTGATTAATTGCATTTTGTTAACTCTTTCGGTCTTCTAAAAAGGCACGTTGAAACACTGCTATGCTCTATCTTATTCATTCTAAAGATTTTAGTGATACGTCCAAAAATTCCGATATCAGAAGTACACGGTAGCAACCTTCGTGCAAAACGTAGGTAATCCAAACTTTTAATGACTCTATCATAAGTGTTCCAAATTTATCAAAACCTATAAATGTCGATCGGGACGCCCTTAACAAACTCAACAATTCCTATTCAAATTATTTTATTGAGAAGATAAACCCACGTTGTTATATTGTACGAAGGAAGGAATGAAATATGATAACGGACAATCAAATTCCGAAGTCTTGTGGCCTTGCTTGAGGCTCGTAAAGATATGAGCGTCGCTTGATAACGATGATATAATTAAGTTTGTTGACATACATGCATATAAACACTTTCCCTTGTACAGTCATTACACGTACGATGTTACGAACGTTTAGAGGGAAATTCTCTTCATTTGGTGTATTTTTTCGTGGTGTCAAATAAAATTGAGTTGCATTGGGGACGTAGTAAAGTTTAATTTTGCTCAATTTCATTGTAAATCTATTTCTGATTGATTAATGTGCATTTTAATTACAAACAATACATACCAAGAAGACTTATTACTCATTGACACAGTTCTGTTGTAAATATAAAAGAAGAAACGTCTAACATTGTATTAACTATTTCATTCGCCATTTGTAATTGTGATTCTCACAGTAGTATTAATTTATTTTCCTTTTCATAAGGTTTTGTATCCATAGTTGTTTGTACCGAGTTTGTTCCCTTTATTTTTCTTTTAGTTAGTAGTAGAATAGCATTAGTTTGTAATATGGATGTACATATATTTGTACAGCTGTAAAGAAATACAATAGAATAATAATGTTATTTATTTATTGAAGATGTGTGTAAGCGAACAGAATATTGACGTATTTTACAGATTTTTGTACTTTACGTGAATTATTTATATATTGGTTACAATGTCAATATGTGAGTAATAACCTCATTAGACATTGATTGCTAGTAGTTACTCGATACGTTTAAGAAAAACAAAGTTGGAAATGTTAAATATTTAACCGACTTCTTTATAAAAATGTTGTATAGATTTTATACACAGGTAATGACAATAATAATTAAAATAGAAAGGGTGGTTTTGATAGAAAAAGAAAACATGTCTATTATACTTGTGGTACCTAAAATGAAGAAGAACATTTATGATATTTATAATTCTTGCTAATTTGATATTCAATTTAATTTAGTTTTATTTTCTAGAATTAATAATAACTATTATACAATTAAATATATACAATACAAGATAAAAATTAATATATACAACTTAAAATATATATAAAAAACAAATTTAAAACTAAAATATTTACACCTTAATAAAATAATAATAATAAAAATAAATCATAAGGCATCAAAGAAAACATTTTCCTCATCGCTACCGTGAGGTAGGGTGCCCAAAAGACTGGCATTTAATTTAATTTTACCTTTCTTCTCCGATTGGTCTTGGACTTACGTCTCCAAAGGCTGAAAAGTAAATACCAACTATATTAAGATATCTATAACTTATTAACAGAACTCTTGCATTAAACAAATATAAAATTAGACGAAGTCAAGTCCCTTAAGAGGTGTTGAGTATATTATAAAGTATCGAAAAGCTGTGTAGGTGTTTACGAAAATAAATATCTGATCGATAATTCGTTCAATTTGAGATGAAAAGGCCTCGTAGTTATAAATAAATTAGGAACTTTTCTGTGAATATTATTCTGTTCACGATAGTCAGTATTATTTGATTGTGATTGATGTATTGTAGGATAATGGGTGGGCGTCTTTATTTATGAATCGTTTTCTTTCATTGATGACTTTATTGACTCGCCACAACTTAAGCCTAATGGGGCTATTCACAACCTTTTTTTCATTGTTCACCTTGAACATAAAAAAGAAATGTCATTTATGGTAATAAATCCATTTTAAAAAACGACGTAAGCAACAATATCCTTTATCATTTGAAACTCGTCTTTAGTTGATACGATTTTAGGTGTAATTTTTATTGTATTTCATATTTCTGATTGTAATTTCCAGACACTGTCATGATTGCACCGACCTTCAAAGCGCGCTCGACCTCTCCAGGTACTGGATAGTCCCCGGCGACTAACTGCTCTGCTGACCCCATTTTTGTACTTAATGATTCATATGCTTTGATTGTTGTATGGTAATTAGTGCAGAAAGTAATGTATTGAGTATTGAGACTATAGACATAGGGTTCATTTTCAAGAATCCGGCCCAATCTTGAATTGGATTCCCGAATTAGCTAAAATATCAGAGAATTCGATTAAGTATTAGATATTGTTTTTTTGTTATTCTCAATAATTTTCATTAAACTCTGTTGAGTTATGTTTAACTTATACAAATATTAATATTTGCATCTCTACCTTCTCTTTAAAGAAGGGAATATACACCATAACTCATGTTTGTTTAAAGTTAAATTTGCTTAAACTTAACCTTATCAAAATTAGTCACGCCATAATCATACCCAAGAGATGATAAAATTAAGCCATCACGGTGGCTAAATAGACGTTAGAAGCACCATACATAATTAAATACGTCTATCTCTCTCAGTCTCAGTCACTTTACTTAAATAGAATGACATTTAAACACCATTGGTTATTTGGATTATAATTAATAAGCCTTCGATGGGAGAAGTCGAAAATATCCCACATAAATAAGGTGTTAGTATGAAATGTTAAAGTCCACCTTTTGTCATTTATAAATCTTATAACATAACATCACGCCTTTAATTACCGAAGGGGTAGGCTGAGGTGGACATTACGGCACGTAATGACACTGTACAAAGTAACACTCATGTTTCACTATTTATGTTCTGAGTTCCATGTAATAGGGAGTGCGCCTATTGCCATATACTGGGCACAAGTTCAGACTCCGTTGCTCCGTCAATGCTACTACTGAGAACTGCAAAAAAAAAACTAGTAAAACTTTGCCGACCGACCCGGGAATTGAACCCGAGATCAATGAGGTATATATTAAAAATCTTATGTAATAACAATTCAAAACTCTAGATTTTTTTTCAATATGGAAGTAGGTACTTTACCAAACCCCTGTATCGAACCACAGCTCCCTGACTCCATAGTCTCGTTTACAAACCACTCAAATATTCGACAAGTTTTTATTTTAGTAGTGAACAAAATTACACGGAAAGATTTTTCATTATTCAGTGTTACATAAAACAGAAAATAAAAACGAAACTGTATACATATGTATGTATATATGTATAAGCAACAAAAATATATGAATATGGTTTCATTCACAGCTTTTCATACCCTTTCTATTATAGGTACGTAGAATTGGTTTCTATGAAAATCAAAGGTTATATTCGAAATTGCTTTTTTTCCAATTTTCCTTGCATACTCCTGTTATTAAATAGGTACATAATTTGTTCTGAAATATACGGATTTGTTTACGACTTTTCACTCTGTTTGAGGTTTTATTTTTTTCTAAAAATATCGTAAGCGGGTTTTGTAGCCGCATTTAACACAAATTAACTAAAATCACGGGTTACTCACGTGAATATACTGAGAAAAGCTTTACTAGTGAGCTGCGCCCCTCTGTGGTTCGAAACTAGTAGAGCTTTTCTCAGTATATTCACGTGATTAACCCACGATTTTAGTTAATTAAGTATGTCTTGGGTGTTACCTTTCGAGAATAGTTCTTAAAGGTAAAGATACATTTTTTCAAATTGGACTAGCATTTTCAAGGCAACAGTGTATTGAAAAACAAAGCTTTAAAATATGATTAAGGCTACAAAATATTTCTATCATATTATGTTTAACATGCTGCCTCGTTGGCCGACTGGTCGCACGGGCGACTACCGAGCAAGGGCTCTGTGGTTCGATTCCTGGGTCAATCAACGTATTACTGGGCTTAAAAAAAATCTTAGTAGTAGCACGGAGTCTGGAAATGTGGCCGGTATATGGCAATAGGCTTACCCCCTATTACATGAGACTCAGAACATGAATAATGAAAAGTGAGTTTTACATTGTACAGTGGCATTAAGTGACGTAAAGTGCACCGCTGCCTACCTCTTCGGATATAAAACACGTGATGTTATATGATATAATATTTAACAATCAAAGCATTTCAATCATGGTCTTTAATGAAGTTTTAATCCCTTAGTACAAAGGTTTTAAAAGAATAATTCAAGCCCAGCTCTTTAACATACCTAGTTTTCGTTTGGTATTGTCATTTTTTTTTAATTTGATTTTAACGGTACTGTTTTATACGAGTTTATCTTGAATTTAACAAAGGTTAATACATACTGTGAAATTGTTTAGTGATCTAAATGTCATCGAAAATGCTATTTTCATTTGACCTAAGACATATAAGATATAAGATTTAATAGACAATTTCACATTATCTGTGTTCCCTCATTGCGAAGGATTAAGTTCAAGATAAAACTCACTTTTTATTGATGTGAACTATAACTATATCGTGTTTTACCTAATCAATGCTGGAATGACGAGTGCTGTGTTTTAACAGTGTTTGGTTTTATGTATTTTATTTGTTTTGTTGATGTTAACTTAACCTTTATGTTGTCGTTTGTATGTAATAATTTCTCTATGAATAATTTAATAAAATATTCAAGATACAGCAATATAAAAGGAGGTAAGTAAATTGATCTGTTCTGTCGTTCAGAATGTGGTAAATGAGTAATCGGCATTACCAACTTGGAAGATTCCCGATATATACTTAGAGTGTGGCAGAGTTATGCTTCGGCTCGAATGGGTCGGCTCGACCGGAGTGATAGCCACAGCCTCACAGAAGACCGACGTGAAACAACGCTTGCGTTGTGTTTTGTCGTGTGAGGGAGGTTACTAGAGACCCAATTACCCCTCCCTCCCTTTCCCACTCCCTAAATCCCCAACAATCCTAAAATTCCAAATCCGACAAGGCCGGTAACGCACTTGTAACGCCTCTGGTATTCCAAGTGTCCATTGGTTGATGCCGATTGCTTACCATCAGGTTATCCGCCTGCTTGTTTACCTTTGTATCCTATAAAAAAAATGTTTATCCAGATACAATAACTTATTTGACAACAAACCACACGAACGTATAGGGTAAAAGCAAAACCTATCAAAAATAAAAAAATATTCTTATGACAACTAACTTATTCCAAGGAATAAACAGCAGCCCTCGAAAGGATAACATAAACGCTGATCCCTATAAAACCGTTTATAAAGAAAGTTTTTTACGACTGCCGACAATCATATTCGAAATAACCATAAGAGAGGGAAAACCGTAAAATGGGCATTAGTTCCTCCATGGTACCGCTGACGAAGCATTTTCTTGGACATTCGTAAAAAAATGTTATATCTGACCACGGATTTGCATAACATTCCCATCCCTATTACTGAAGTAGTAAAGCTTTTTATGCCACTAACGCGTATTGGCTCATATCACTTTTGTAAATTGGAAGAGTTTTGACAGTAATATTATTCGACTGAGCGATCTAGGGATTGGTGTTAAGTTGTCATTTTTTATTTTATTATTGAACACAGTTTTGTTGATATTTAATGAAATAAGCGATAACTGTTGCAGTGAACGATATTAATTTTTGTACGTACACATCACACCCGGCCCCGGAATACCAATTTGGGATCACCAAAACCAATGACAAATGGTGAAAGAAAACATCGTGAGGAAACCTGGGCTTATAATTTCTAATTATTAGTTTGACATCGCCAACCCGCATTGAGCAAGCGTGGTGATTAATGCTCAAACCTTCTCCGTGTGAGAAGAGGCTTTGCTCAGCAGTGAGCATTTAGAGGCTGTTGATGATGATGATGATGATAATGATAATCATCATCACCAAAAGAGTTCTTCTGTGTGGGAATTGAATACATTTTCAGCTTCCTACAAGTTTTGAATCTCATCCAAAAGCCATCTCTACAAAAGAGAAAACTGAAAGCACAGCCTCCTACTGAATAAAACTTTATGAATATTCCTGAAAGTCACGTAAAAACGTGTCCCGTTAACATTTTCTATGAATATAAAATTTGTTACGACATGACGACATTAGCTCGACAGCCCTATAATCTAAAGTTTGCGCGCGCGCCGCGTGTGGCCCTGCTCTGCATGTAAATATTACGTCATGACTTGATAACGATAAAACCGTGCACTTCCTTTACACCGGCACTGTAGTATAAATATTAACACGCTACTTGTATCAAACATTTTTTCTTTAACGTGTTTCGGTATACGAAATTTTTTGAAGATTCGTTTTACTTGGATATTGAAAATATAATCTTCATTAGTACCTAGTTTTAAATATGAAATAAGACATTATTCTTTTATGGAATGGAACGCGATTAACCTTCCAACCTTAAACGAATCTTCTACATATATTTTTAGTTTCACATAAATTATCTGTTTATTGTCATATCCTTATTAGCATGGTAATTAAAACTTAATTAATTTTCCTAATATAAGTATAGATTAGTTATATTTATAAAAATGTCATCTATGAACACAAGGTAATAATTTGATTGCCCCAACTGCCTTGAGATTCTGTAGCCCTGGTACAAACATGTAGTCAGTTTACGACATCCCACATTCTGGCGATGACAGATAGACAAACGATTAGGTACATGAAATCATCGATGTAAACTTATTTTATTTGAGTTTAGTTTATTTATTTGTACGTGTTTTTGTTGTTAATCGAGTTTATCAGCGAAAATTTTGTGATTTATTTTTGAAGAAGTGCACACTTTTGCAAGTTACGAAAATATATTTTTTTCTTAATTATTATTAGATACTAAATTAAATAGAATCATGCCTATCAGTTCAGCCCAAAGTTCAATGAACTTCGAGTGTTTATTCTAAAAATTCTTCTCTCGAATGGAGTAGAACGAACAAGAATCTTCTTCGTTACTCTTTTCTTTTATATGCTATCAATCACTGAAACCACTCTAGAGGAATCTGAAGACTGCGTCACTTACCTACATATTTGTTAAGGTGCGTCCACATCTGGCGAATCCGCTGTGAATCGACCAATAAGGTTGCGTGCATTTAAAATTATTATTTATTCGAGTCTGTATGAGTTGAGCACCAAACTA